AAGGACGTAGCCACGGATAACATAAACAACCAAATATTCTGAGTTTTTGAATGTTTGGAGATTTAAAAAATAATTTTTCAAATGGAGACTGGTATCATAGCGGCGTTCTCCTCTTTGAGTCTTTCAACCTCACCCATCAGCCTCATGAAGATAAAACAAGAGGGAAGTAATATTGCTGATTATCTACATAACATAAAGGTTATTATCGATAACTTGGCCTTGGTAGGTCATTCCCTCAGTGATGAAGAAGTTACTGTTCATATCCTCAATGGCCTCGGAGACGAGTACAAGGAATTGGCAGCAGCAATACGGGCGCGTGATTCACCAATCACATTCGAAGAACTTTTCGACAAGCTGATTGACTTTGAGATATATCTCAAGCGCGAGGACAAACCGCCAGGACCGTCCATCACAGCTCAAGTCACTCAAAAAAGGAGGGGCAATTCGTATAACAAGATTGTCAACAAAGGTTTGACCAAGACACCTTCTGAACCTATGAGCTCCAAACCAACTATTCCTCCTCCTCATCCTCAACATTCCAATCACAACAACCAAGGTGGCTTCTTCAATCATCCGCAGTCCTGGCGCCCTCACTACACAAACCAACAAAGAATTGTTTGCCAACTATGTGATAAAGTCGGTCACTCTACAAAGGTCTGTCGATCTCGACCCAGACTTCCTGCTCAATCACATTGGCCTCAAGCAAATCTCACGACTACTCCAACGACCAGTGATCATAATTGGATTGTGGACTCTGGCGCATCCCACCACATCACCTCAGATCTCCAGAACTTGTCCATCCACAACAACTATGGTGGCACTGAGGACATCATCATCGGTGACGGTAAAGGAATTCCTATTACTCATACGGGTTCTACACTGCTTAATTCACCTACCACAACCTTTACACTCGATGATGTTTTATGTGCACCTTACATTAAACGAAATCTCATTTCCGTTTCTCAATTTTGCAAACAAAATAATACCTCCATTGAATTCTTTCCTAACTCTTTTCTTGTTAAGGATTTGAGCACGGGGGCATCATTGGTCCAAGGCCAGAGTAAGGACAATGTTTATGAATGGCCGTCACTTCCACAAATAAAACAGCCCACTGCTTCTTCGTTAAAGGAAAAGACCTATGCAAGATGGTGTAAAGCTGTAGATTTCTATGCAGCAGTTCTATAGGAGGTACTCTGGGCAGTGATGCAGCCAGTGGCGTGATCAGCTTTATGCAAGACAACTGCAGATCTGTGTGCAATAGATCAGCAGTGAGGAATCTTGGCAACGAGGCAGCAGCGTGGAAAGTTACCGAAGGCTGCTTGTCTCTGCGAAGGCAGAGCAGGATGCTGGCTGCTAGGAGGCCTGCACCCAGAAGGTCCTCTCGGAAGCAGTGAGGATAATGTTGCCAGAGTCGAGGACAACGGTGGCGGAGGCGTTGGAGGGAGAAGGCCAGGAGCTGATCGATGGACCAGCGCGCGGAAGCAGAGCAGATCTGGCAGATCTGGAGCAGAGGGTCAGTGACGGGGCGTTGGCGGCGATGAAAGGTGGGAAGATGATGATGCAGCAACAGCTTCCATGGCCTGAATTGGTAGCAGCAATGATGAATTGGTAGCGAGAAGAGAGCTTGCTCTAGGCAAGCGGCTCTGATACCATGATAGAATGAGAGAATGAAGAATGAAATTATAAGGATAAAGCAAAAAGGCACACTTCAAGTAGTATCATGTGAAGTCTATTTATACATAGTGAAAGAGGATATTTCTTTAACTGAGCAGAGAGATTTCCTCATGCAGTTGAGGAAATCTCATCTGCTATGCAGTTGAGAATATCTCTCTTTTATCAGAGAAAATCTCTCTGTTATCACTAAAGAGAGGGCTTACAATGATGTGAAAGTTTCAAGTATAGGAAACACAAGTTATTCGTTGTGGGTGAAAATGTTATTGGTTTAAGGTGGAGTGTTCTCTCTAGAGCATTTGTTGAGCATGTCGGTGGGATGGTGCTCTTCGTAACATGTGGATCCTTTTTTCTAACATCAAAATATTGGGAGATGATATAGGTGATAGTTAATTGACCCAACTTAGTTTGGATCCAGATGCACAAAAAGCCTTTGAGAGCAACCAAGGGGTATCGAAAGCTTAATCTGATATTGATTTATATAAAAATCGAGATCGAAGGAGATTTCTGATGTAGTAAACAATAGTTGATCTTAATTATTATAATCCGATGGATATTTTATGATTAGCTCAATTGGAATAAATATTGATACCAGCGAAATATACTGATATGCAGGTGGCACCGAACCCTTGACCTCCTCCCGCTGACTTGATTGCCACGTAATGAGCCCTTGGGTAAACATTTCCCAACCACCACGGAGGCTAAATCCTGCTCGAGTAAGATTATATTTAACATCCGTCTCAGCACGCAACTTTGGACTTCTTTCCTCCAAAGCAGCATTTATATCCTCATCTAAACAGCAACTTCCCCTTAATTATTTGTTGACTTCAACAGCTCCGCACCGTCACATCACCTATTTCATTTCATGCTCAATAACCAACCTCACCAACAACACAAGAAATAGCTCTATATACTGTAGAGCTGGTGCTATCTTTCTTTTAATTAAATCTGAAGGTTAATTATAGATTATCTTATATAGCCAATTACCTTTAATGTTTCTATTTTTATATTTTAAAAAATTAGATTGATATTACTATAATTACGAATGTGAGACATTTAGATTTATTTATCCTAACGATATTAGTTTTATTTATAGAAACACGAAAATGAAATGTAAAAAGATAATTTTACCGTTCTACGATAGATTACGATGTTGTTGGTGTTAACACTAACGCAGTTGCCTAGCTACTTTCAACAACGATAAGGTCCGCTCTTATCGTGATACCATCTGCCTTAACAAGGAGTGCACCGCCCGTATCACATTGTTCTACATCTGCATCGATGCTGACGTAGTTATTGAATGATATACATGTCGACGTCGATATAGATGCATAGCGACATGGGTGAGAAATGATATATCAATGGTTATATAACAAGGTGTTAAATTGTTAGCCATATTAAAATATGTTCACAATGAAGATGACAAATCTATAGTAAACCATACTATATGGTCATGTGTAGTGCTTAACACATGACAATAGTCATGTTGACTAGTGATAGACTACAATGATCATAAAATACATGTCACACTGAAATCAATTTTTCCCTCAATTATGGAACTCTGCATATGGGAAACGAATGACCACCACAATCATGTGATTAAGGGTCTATGATTTATGACTCTGCATTTGTGTTAGTGCTATATTTGCATTGATGCTGACGTAATTGCTGAGCAGTGAAAGGATCGTTTGGCCAGAGGTGATACTAGAACTAATATGACAGTGGGGGAGCGATAAGAACTTCGACGACTCTAGCTTCGGATTGAGATTAGGATTCATCCAATGAGTCAATGATGAGGTGGGCATCATCTTTATCGTAGACACCACAATGACCACCACCATTTGTGTCGACGCTGACACAGTTGCTGCTTGACAACTACGTTAACATCGACAAAGATGCAAAACACATGAGGCGGGTAACGATAAGATCAATGATTTCCTCCTCGTGGAGGTAGGTGACATCAAGTGAGTGCAGACTTTATTATCATCGGATGCGATAAGACAACTACATCAATGTCAACGTTAGTGACATCACCATTTATCACCTTCGATGTCATCCGCTATCGAATATTAAAATTATTATTTTATTTTTATATTTTTATTAGTAAAATTAATATCATCCGGATAAATGGACCAATATAACTATAGCTAATGCAACTTTTTTTAGCGTGAAAATTGAAACGCGAAAGATAATTAGCTATAGACGATAATATGACAATGACTGGCACAATAAATTGATGACGAGTGCTGACGGTTTTTTTTTTTTATGGGTCCCACTGGAATCGTGGGTTTGCTGCCTGGAACGGACAGCTGAGCTCCTCCCGGCGTCGTTTTCCACCGTCGACGTCGCCGCCGCGGACCGCTGCTCTCCCCGACCCCGTTGCCCCCAAACTGGAGAGAATGTTCTCGACTCAGATTCATCGTCATCATTCCGCATCTTCTATGCGGGAATCTGATGCCGGGAAACATCCCCCGGGACGAAAGAGGCAGATCGAGTCGGATCCTGTTCGGATTCAGGCGCTCCATCGGCAGCACCGAGGCGGCAAGGAAGGCCGACTTCCCTTTCAAGAAGAGAACAGAAGGGAGACAGGAACCCGCGACCAACCGGTAACATTGTCTTCTTCCCTAATTTAACCCTAGAGTTTAGATTATCTGATGCAAATAATTTCACATGCATCTCTCAAGCACTAAATCCAACCAAACGGAGGCATAAATTATAGACCCTCAACCACTTGAAGCGTTCCATAATTGAGGGGGAAAATTGATTTCGGTGTGACAGTTCTTGTATTTTGTGATCATTGTAGTCGATCACTAGTCATCATGACTATTATCATGTGTTAATTTATACGTATCATGAGCAAAGCACTTCTCATGGCTTTGTCATATAATCTCGTTTACTATAGATCTGTCATCTTCATTGGCACATGTCTTGATCTGGTTGGCAATTCAATGCCTTGAATCTACAGAAGGTGCCAATGACTAACTAGATCTCTGAAGTCAAGATGAGTTGGTCTTTTTATAAGACAATATGAGAAGGTGCTCCACAATATTGAAGTTGTCTGCTGTCCTAAATGAAATGTGTCTGCTCATAGTTTCCCTTTCGTCACTTAATGACCTTACTGCTCATCTGAGCTCAGTCTCTTCTCCGCTGGAAGTCAGAGGCGAGCTCCTCTAATGGCTTCACTGCTAATAGCAGGTTGGTTCGTAGGCACATTCATAGCTAAGGTGGCAGACCTGGGCATCCTCTACGTGAAGAACCAGTATGTGTACCGGGATGTCAAAGGCAAACTGAAAAAACTGGAGAAAAATCTCAGAAAGATCCAAGCAGCACTCTTTGAGGTCGACAAGAGACAGATCACAAACCCCGGTTTGGAGGAATGGCTATGGGACCTAAAGGATTCTGTTTATGCTGCGGAGGACATGATCGATGGATTTGAGTACAATCTGCTTGAAGATATAGCCAAGGGCAAGAACCAGCTGATTTTTGAGGAGCAGAGCAAAGACCGGGCTAAGATCAAGAACAAGTTCAAAAACACACTCAAGCTACTGGTTTTTTGCAACGAGGATCTCAACCAGTTGGATGATGCTATCAAGCAATTCAGTGATCTCGTAGATGAACTTGGCAAACTTCTCAAGGTGGTGGAGCTAAATGTAGCCACTAACAAGAAGGATGATGCAGAAATTCCCAATTGGCGACGAACAACCTCCCCCATCAAGCCCAGGCCACCGAGAGGACGAGATAAAGAAGTAAAGAAACTGAAGATGCTTCTTGAAACAGGTAACAATTTGAATCCTGATAGCAACAGTTTTTCTCTTGTTTCCATAGTAGGCCCTGGTGGGATCGGTAAGACAGAACTTGCTCGGCTTGTATACAATGATGAAAGTTTAAATTTTGATATTAAGGCATGGGTCTGTGTGTGCAATAATTTCGATGTGAGGAGGCTTTCCATAGAAATCATAGAATCTGCTGCTATCCATCGATATATTGGTCTTCACAGCATTAATAATTTGGATGAGATTCTCAAACTGACTGATCTTCATAGCATCAGTAACTTGGATGAGATACAGAAAATTCTGTCTGAGTGTCTAAAGGACAAAAGGGTTTTAGTTGTTTTGGATGATGTGTGGGAGGAGTCCGTTGCTAACTGGGAAAACCTGTGTAGTGCATTAAGATCTGGTCACAAGGGATGCAGAATCATAGTAACCACTCAGCTTGAAAGTGTGGCAAAGATGATGGGGACCAGGGACATAGTAAATCTGGATGGCTTAGATGGCAAGGTTAACTGGGAGTTACTCAAAGAATGTTCACTTAGTGACCAAAAACATGCTGAGCATCGGAGGTTGGAACGGATAGGCTGGGAAATATCTCAGAAGTTGGGGGGCTCACCCTTGGCAGCAGTGACAGTAGGACGTGCTTTAAAATATGATTTGAAGGAAGAACACTGGAGAAGAATCTTGCATAAGAAGATATATGAAATTGAAGAAAAGGAAGGTGACATTGTGTCAGTTCTGAGACTCAGCTATGAGCAGCTGCCTGCATACTTGAAGCAGTGCTATATTTCATGTTCTTTGTTTCCAAAGAACCATAGCTTTGAGAGAGATGATTTACTTCAAATGTGGATGGCCCTAGGCTTTGTTCAAGCAAATGACAAACACGACAGGATGGAGGACATTGGTCAGGACTTAATAAATGAGCTGTCAGCCCGATCCTTTTTCGTGAATGCAAAGAGAAAGGAGGACAAGTTTGTGATCCATGCTGTCTTGCATGAGCTTGCCGATTGTATTTCGGATGGTGAATATTTTAGACTCGATGATGAATATCAAGGAAATCAGCCGATTAGAATCCCAGATAAGGCTCGCCATATTTATGTTACTGCTGATAATCTGGTTATGTTTTCTAAGATTTTGTGCAAGAAGGACAATGTGCGCAGCCTTGTTGTTGCTGGTGATCTCTCCCATGGCATCCCCAAGTCTGACTTTGTGGATAGTCTTAAAGAGGTTTTGGATAGTTTTAAATGCCTGCGGCTTTTGATACTTTCTGTGCTTGGAAGTGGCTTACCTAAGGCTATTGGTGGTTTAAAACATCTACGCTACTTGGAAATCCCAGGCGATGTAATTACTGAATGGCCAGAATCATTTTGCAAGCTTTACCATCTACAGTGGGTGAATCTGAAGATGTGCTCTAAGAATTTGTTGCTGCCAGAAAAGATGAACAGGTTAATAAGACTTCGCC